CGGCGGCCGCCCCGCAGCCGCAGCAGCCGCAGAGCCGCGGGCGCCGCCAGCTCCCCGGCAGGAAGGACCTGTTCATCGAGGCCGACCTCATGAGCCCCCTGGACCGCGTGGCCAACGTCTCCATCCTCAAGGTAGGGGGGGCCGCGGGCGGCGCGGGGCGCCCGTTGCCGCCGCTCACGGCCCCGTGGCCCCTGCAGCAGCACGAGGTGGACAAGCTGTTCAAGGTGGAGAACCGCGTGCCGGCCAGCGCCAGCGACCAGTGAGTGCCGCGGCCGGTGGCGCCCGGGCCGCGCTGCCCGCGGGGGCTCCCGGCACCGAGCGCGTCCTCACGCGCCCCTGGCTCTGCGGCGCAGGCTCTGCTTCCTCGTCCGCCCGCGGATCCGCACCATGCGGAGCATCGCCGGTGAGTGACGGGCCGGCCCCGCAGCCCGCGCTTTGCTCCGGCTCCCGTGGGGCCTGCTCTGCTTCGGGTCCCGCCTGGTGCTGGGGTCCCAGACCTTGCCGCACAGGAGGACTCTGCCCRTTGGGGTTGGTGGTGCCGGGTCTGGTTAACGAGACCCTCTCGTCTGCAGATATCATCAACGCTGATAAGATGTCAGGGAGGAGCCGGAAGTACAAGATCATCTTCAGCCCCCAGAAGGTCGGTCTGGCTGCTCTTTAGACCAGTTACCACCATAGGCTCCCAGTCCAGCCCTCCTACTTTCTACTGCTACCGAAACTGAAAGTCTGTAGCTTCTTACCCAGAACAMCTGAGCTCAGAGCAAGCGTTGCCCCGTCTGGGAACGTGGTAGTCACCTCCAGCACGGGGAGGCTCGCGCTGCGCTCTGAGCAGGGGACGCAGGAGCCCGGCGGGGCTGAGGGTCTCCTCTTGTCTTGCAGTTTTACGCTTGCGAGATGGTGCTGGAGGAGGAGGGTGTCCTTGGCGGTGAGTGGGGTGGCCGAGCCCCGCGGCGCCGGCAGGGCCTGCGCGTGTGCCCAGCGCCGGCGGAGACAYGGGAGCAGCGGCCGCCGCGGCCCCGCGCGCCGCTGGAGCCCCTCGGAGCCCCCATCGCTGCCCGCCCGCCTGCCGGGGGCGGCCGCGGCGCTCCGGCTGTTCCCGCGAGCGCTCGGCAGCTGCTGCCTCATTCCATCCCCAGATGTGACCTGTGATGAGTGGTCCTTCTACCTGCTGCCCCTGGACGAGGACATCATCAGCATGGAGCTGCCCGAGTTCTTCCGTGACTACTTCTTGGTCAGTGGGGCGGCCCTGCTGGGATCGCAGCCTTCCCTTGGGCCCGGGACACAAGAGCTCTGCTCACGGGGACAGACGTGTCGGGTTTTGTTCTGTCCTCTCACTCCTTCTGCAAACTGTCATCTGCTGCTCCCTCGAGTGGCTGCTCTGATGGGCTTTGTTGTCCTTCCTTCTCACGCCCCTGCATGCTGGCCCCTGTGCTGGCCCTGATCTGGTTGCTCCTGAGCAGGTTTTGKGGGATCCCGGCGTATTTGTGTGTTCTTCCTTCCTGGGAGCCAAGCTCTAGGCCTGCTCCATCGCTGGTCCGACCCAGCCAAGCTCCCTCACATCCAGAGATGTTTCCCGGCTGGCCTGCCCAGACCTGCTCCCCGGGCTCTCGTGGTCTCCGCAGGAAGGAGATCACCGCTGGATCAACTCTGTCGCTCGAGCGCTGCAGTTGCTGAACTCCCTGTACGGGCCTTTCAGCAGGGCCTACGGGATCGGCCGCTGTGCCAAGGTAGTGCCGCGCTGCCGGGCTCGGCCRCCTCGGTCACAGTCCATCGCTCCGTGCCATCCGTGCGCCGCGGGGGTCCCGCTCCGCAGGCGGTTCCGGGGCTGTGGGGCCTGTGTGTGGGACAGCTCCGCGTCACYGTGCGTGCCGTGCGGCGGCGGGACGCGCGGTGCCGGCCACCGCGGGGCTCGTGCACCGCGTTCCCGAGGCTGCTGCCCCGTCCCCGCAGAGCCCAGCCCGCGTCCTGGCCGGCAGGCCTGGGAGGGCGGGCGGCGGGATGCGCCGGGCCCCGGGCTGGCTGCTCGCGGCTGCTCTTTCGGGCTCTGAGCTGCTGGTTCCCCTCGCAGATGAGCTACGAGTTGTGGCGGGACCTGGAGGAGGAGAGCGACAGCGACGGTCAGGGCAGGAAGCCTGAGATCGGCACCGTCTTCCTCATGGACAGAGGTAGGGCCCGCTGGGGACCGGCTCCCTGSTGCCACCGTGGGCACAAGCCCTGCAGAGCAGCCAGCTGCGAGCGCAGAGCCCCACTGCCTGCCCGGGATCCGAACGTTTCCCGGGAAAGATACCCAAAAACAGGGCTCTAGCTCAAACCTGTTCATTGATCCATTCAAATCAATGAGACGTAATTGATTCCACAAGGAATGGCATCAGGTAAGAGAGTGAGTATTAGTGGGACAAAGAGAGAAAAATAGAAACAGAAGGAGCTATAAGGGAAGTGATCACAGGTCCCGGGTCCATGTGGGTCCTGCCGACCCGACCCTGCAGAGGGGTCCCCGGCTCCGCTGCTGGCCCCTGGCACAGACCGTCCTGCCCCGCGCGCCCGCCCTGGACATGCAGCTTGTGCTGACGGAGCAGGACACGGGGCCGGGATGGCAGCTCCTCCTCGACGGGAGCCGGGGGCTCCGCTGGGTCCCGGGGCTCCCTCCCGCCCATGTCCCGCAGATCGGGTCGCTCCCACTGCCCGTTGTGCCCAGGTGTTCGGCCGCCCTGGGTCCTTGGTCCACATTGTCCTGGATGGAGGGAGAGGTGCTGCCGTGCCGGTCTCCATCTCCGCATCGCGGGCTGTCCCCTTGGCTGGTGTTTGAGGCAGGGGCCCTGGTGTCCCGGGAGGGCTCAGGGCGCCGGGCGGGAGGCGCGCGGAGCATTGAGCGCGGAGCAGCGAGCGGGCGGCCCACGCGCGGCTCTCCCGCAGACACGGACTACGTGACGGCGCTCTGCTCGCAGGTGGTCTACGAGGGGCTGCTGGACGACACCTTCCGCATCAAGTGCGGTAGGTCGGGCCRGGGGCTCCGGGCACCACTCTGTGCCGGCCTTGTCCAGCCCTGCTCCGTGCATGGCCAGAGCCCTTCCCGGGCGCTGCTGGCAGCGCTGGGGCAAAACCCCTCGCCCCGCAGGGAGCGTGGACTTCGGGCCAGACGTCACCTCCTCGGACAAGAGCATCAAGGTGCTGCTCAACTCCGAGGACAAGGCGAGTGCTGTCGCGGGRGCCAGTGCTGGCGCCCCCAGAGCCCCCTGCCCACCTGGCGCGGGAAGGCGGCCGAGAGGGGCCGGCCGCTCTGGAAGCCCCAGGGAGGGAGMGGGGGAAGCCCAGGTGCTGGTGAAGGAGTGGGCACGGAGTTGGCAGACATGTGGGCCCAGCAGCCCAGGAGCTGCGGTGCCRGCACCCGCCTGTTTAGCGACGGCCGGTTGGTGTTTTGGGGCCTGCAGGAGGCTCTCTGTCCCCCAGCACAAACAGCACCTTGTCTGGCTGTTGTTGAGGGTGATGAAGGTGGCAAAGCGCTGGCTCCAAGCCTGGCTTTGAGCTGGGTCGGGGATCCCTGTGCTCGGCCRGTGCCGGTGCTGCGCTCACTGCTGTGCTGCTCCGAGCAGGTCTTCAGCCAGATCCGCAATGAACATTTCTCCAGTGTTTTCGGCTTCCTGAGCCAGAAGTCCCGTAACCTGCAGGCGCAGTACGATGTGAGCACAGGGTGCCCGGTCCCGCCGTCCCGCCGCGCGGTCCCTGCGGGCYGGGCTCCCCACGGACACTCCTCCTTCCGCAGCGGCGCCGCGGCATGGACATCAAGCAGATGAAGAACTTTGTGTCCCAGGAGCTGAAGGGCCTGAAGCAGGAGCATCGCCTGCTGAGCCTGCGTAGGCAGCGAGCGGCCGCGCGCGGGGACAGGCTGGGGCTGCYGCGTGGGTCTGGGGGAAGGCGGGGGATCGGGGGCCTTGCTGGTGCCAAAGGGGAGCCCGAGCGCGGGGCAGCCGCTCGCGGTGGAGGAGAGCTGCGCCCGGCTGTACCAGGAGCACGGGTGCCTCCAAAGGGGCCCTTTCTCTTGGCTCTGCAGATATCGGGGCCTGCGAGTCCATCATGAAGAAGAAAACCAAGCAGGACTTCCAGGAGATGATCAAGACGGAGCACGGTGAGTGCCCACTGCCTGCTACCCTCCGTGCCAGGCGCCTCTGCCCCCCAGCAGGGTCTGGGCAGCCCCACGGCCTGGGTGTCCCCGGGGTCACCGGGACCTTGGGGACCGCGCCGGGTCCCCGCGAGGCGCTCGGCCGGGTCGGGCCGTGCCCCGCAGGGCCGCGCTCAGAGCGGGAGGGCGCCAGCGCCGCGGAGCTGCCCGCGCTGCTGGAGGGGCCCTGCCGCGGCCCAGGGGCGCTCGGCCCAGCGCAGGGGCCGACCTGCCTCGTCCCCGACAGCCCTGCTGGAGGGCTTCGACATCCGCGAGAGCACCAGCTTCATAGAGGAGCACATCGACCGGCAGGTGAGGGCGCCCGGCCCGCCGTGCGGCAGCGCCACGCGGGCCGGCTGCCACCGTGCCCGTCCCCCGCAGGTGTCCCCCGTGGAGAGCCTGCGCCTGATGTGCCTCCTGTCCATCACGGAGAACGGTGAGACGGCCGCGGCGCTGCGCGCGCAGCCGCTGCCCTGGCGCCCTGTGCGCCGGTGCAGCTCCCCCTGTGCCCCCGCAGGTCTCGTCCCCAAGGACTATCGCTCGCTGAAAACCCAGTACCTGCAGGTGAGCGCGGGGACGAGCCCTGGGCTCCCCGCGCTGGCACCGCGTCCCCCGCACGGTGCCGGTCTGGAGGCGCCGCACACGGAGCCGGGACACGGGGGCTCCGCGCGGCCCCGCTGCCCTGCGTCCCCTCCCCAGAGCTACGGCCCCGAGCACCTGCTGACCTTCCACAACCTGAAGCGCGTCGGGCTGCTCACGGAGCAGAGCCCCGGGGAGACGCTCACTGCCGTGGAGAGCAAAGTCAGCAAGTTGGTGACGGACCGAGCCGCAGGTGCGGGAGCGCCCCGGGAGCCCGCGCCGCCCACCCAGGGGCTTCAGCCTCCGCACCCCACGGCACAAAAAGCTCTGAGCCCTTTCTTCCTGCCTTGTTTTCCAGGCAAAATCACAGATGCGTTTAATTCTTTGGCCCGGAAGAGCAATTTTCGAGGCATCAGCAAGAAGCTGGGGTTGGTACGTGCTGAGGCTGCTGCTCTGTCCTCAGCGGGACCGGGTTGCTCTGTGCCCGGCTCTGGTGACATCCCTGCACCAGGACACCGCAGCCCTCTGTGTCCGCCCCGCCTGGGCTCCGCCTTGCAGCCAAGCGGCGGGTGCTGCACGGGGAGGTGCCCGCGGTGTCCGGCGCGCTGCGGCGCCCAGCGTGTCCCGTGTCCGCCTGCCCCCGGGCCGCGGCGGGGGTGGCGGATGGGGACGCAGGGCTTGCTCCGAGCGCCGGGCGAAGCCCCGGGCCCGTGGCTGCCACACGGGCGTCACACACGCGCGTGGCCGTAGATTCCCCGYGTGGACGGAGAGTACGACCTCAAAATGCCGCGGGACATGGGCTACGTTTTCAGCGGGGCCTACGTGCCCCTGAGCTGCAAGATCATTGAGCAGGTGAGTGTCCGTCCCCGGGAAGGCGCCGCGGCTCGTCCCGAGGGAACCCGCCTCGCTGCGGGGCCGGCTTCGCGTCCCGGGCGGCCGGAGCGCGGGCTGCGCGGTGCCCGGAGCGCACCGCCATTCCGTCCCTCTCCRTGGCGCAGGTGCTGGAGCGCCGGAGCTGGCAGGGCCTCGAGGAAGTCGTGCGGCTGCTCAACGGCACCGAGTTCTGCATCGCAGGTACCGCACCCGGGCTGCCGCGCGGCCTCGGCCGCGCTCGGCGCCGACGCTCCGCTCGGCTCCCCGCAGACAGCGGCGCCGAGGACGGCGCGGCCGGGGACGCGCAGCGCGTCGTCCTGGCCGTCTTCCTGGGCGGCTGCTCCTTCTCCGAGATGGCGGCTCTGCGCTTCCTGGGCAAGGAGAAGGGTAGGGGCCGCGGCGGGCCCGGGCGCCGCGCGTGCCGCGCTCGGCGCTGCAGCCGCCCGTGCCCTCCTCGCAGGGTACAAGTTCATCTTCCTCACGACGGCCATCACCAACAGCGCCCGCATGATGGAGGCCATGATCGAGACCAAGGCATGAGGCCCCCGCGCACCGGCGGCGTCACGGCCCTGCCCTCAATAAACAGCTTTGGTGCAGAGCGGTGTGCGCTGTGGGCCGGCACCGGGACCGGCACCGGGACCGGCACCGGGACCGGGGCGGGGGGCGCGGGGCGGGGCCAGGCTCCGAGCGGGGCGGGGCCAGGGGCATGGGCGGGGCCGGGGGTGCGCATGCGCAACCGCCCGTAGCGCACAGGGTGGGGCGGGCTGCAATGCGCAGGCGCCCCGGCTCCGAGTCACGTGTCCGCTGTCAAATTCTGAGCGCGCGGTTGCATGTTCCCCGGCGGGGCGCGCYGCTCGTTGATTGGGCGAGAGACAGCGAGGCGCTTCGCTGCCATTGGCTGTCGCCCCGCTTGGGGCGGGACCGCCCCGCAACAGCGAAGGGCGACTCACCTTTGGGGCGGGGCCCGAGCGGCGGTTGTAGGTGGGGCCTGGCGTGACGCAGCCGGGCGCGGCAGCCAATGAGCGGCCGCGGGGCCGAGTTTAAATCTGCAGTGGGAGCGCGGCCGTGAGGAGCGGCGCGTCGCGATGAGGCGGAGGTGAGCGGGGCACCGGGCAGGGAGCGGGGCGCCGGGCAGGGAGCGGGGCCGCCGGGAAGGGAGCGGGGCCGTGGGGCTGCCGCGCGCCCCGAGCCGCCGCTGATGCCGCCGCGCCCGTAGCGAGGCTCTGGCGTCCGAGTCCGTGCTGTGCCTGACCCGCGCGCTGGCCACGCTGCGCGGCATCTGGGAGGAGATCGGCATCCCCGAGGAGCAGCGCCTGGAGCGCACCAACGTGGTCCGGAAGCATGTGCAGGTGAGCGGCGGCCCTGGGGAGCAGCAGGGCCCCCGCGGCCCTGCGCCCGGCCCGCCCTGGGCTGCGCCTCCCTGCTGTGCCCTCTCCTCTGAGCACCCCTGTGCCGCAGGAGCTCCTGGACCTCATGGTCAAGGAGGAGGAGGGCCTGAAGGAGCGTCTCCTGAACAGCATTGCCATGCATCGCAAGGATGTGGACACCCTCTGCCGGGAGCTCCAGCTGGACCCCCTCCAGGTGAGCGGTTCCCTCCCTCCTAGGGTCTTGTTGGCTGCAAACCTTGACCACCTGGTCTGYGACCCGGCTCCTCAGCAAGGCTTGAGCTTGCAGAGCAAATTCCTGCTCCCAAAGCTCGTGTGCATCTGTGTGGCAGGTGTTGGGGGGCAGTTGGGAGATCAGCTATCCTGCAGCATCCCTTGTGTGTCTCTGCGGGACTTGCCCTTGCTCTGGGAGCAGGTTGTTCAAAATCRAGGCTTGTGTCTCAGCCCTTCAGTGAAGATGCCCTGGCTGTGTGTGTTGAGCCTGCGAGAGATGAGGAGCAGGGTGCTGACTTCTGGACTCTTGTAGGCAGAGGAGGAAAGCACCCTCCTGCAGCAGGAGAAGTGCCTGCGCACCCACGCAGAAGCTCTGCTCAAGGAGAAGGAGGACAGGAGGCGGGAGCTGAATGCCCTGCAAGAACAAGACCGAGACTTGTGCGATACTCTCTGCACGACTCCGTTCTGTATTGACAGCAACGCCGTGCCCAGCCTGGAGGAGCTGGACTGCTACAGGAACCACTTGGCCTCCCTGACCGCTGAGAAGGTAGGTGAAGAGGCGCTGAGGAGGCTGCTGGCAGYGACACAGCTGGGTCATCTTAGGCTTCTAACGTCACTCATGGCTTCTAGGAGCGAAGGCGAGAAGCATTTGTCAACACCAAGCGTCAAATCATCCTGTGCATGGAGGAGCTGGACCACACTCCCGACACGAGCTTTGAGCAGGACGTGGTGTGCAAGGACGAGGCCGCCTTCTGCCTGTCCACAGACAACATCGCTGCCCTGCGAGACCTGCTGCAGCAGGTGCGCGGGGCCGCGAGGCAGCGCCGCCTGCTCCGGCCCGCAGGGCTGCGGCGGCTGCMACGGTATCCTGGTGGCACCTACAGCAGAGTGCAAACACTAGCTGCTCCCTTTCCAGCAAGCCTGTGCGCACAGCGGCTTGGAAGGGGATCTCGGCACATGAGTGCATGGATTTGATGTGGAGAAAAGGGGCCCGCTCGTGCCCCTCAGGGCAGGCCGTGCTTATGCTGACCCTGTGCTTTCCTTGCTGCAGCTGGAAGGCCAGAGATCCCTGAATGAAGCCCTGTGTGTGGAACTGCGCTCCAGAGTCCTTGTGCTGTGGGAAAGGCTGCAGGTTCCTGCAGAGGAGAGAGAAGCTTTTGCAGTGCACATGACTGGATCCAGAGCCAAAACCAGGAGAGCTGTAAGGAATCCTGTGCCCTTTGGAGGGGTGGCAGGAGAGCGACAGCTCCGGGCTCATGTTTCTGTTTCCTCAGCTAGACTGGCGGGGTAGCTTCCATAGCAAAGGGTAATGTGAGTGGGCCAAATCCTACCTTCCCGGGTGGAGGAGCAGGGAGTTGYACTGGCAAGTGGTTCATGTCAGAATGTTTTTTATGCAGCAGGTAAATTTTGTTCTGCTCATCTCGTGCTTGTGCTTACTTCTCTGACTCTGTGCTATGTTCTGTTTGGCAGCTGCAGCTGGAAGTGGATCGTCTAGAGGAGCTGAAGCTGCAGAACGTGAAGGAGGTGATTCAGGCAACCAGAGCGGAGCTGACTGACTACTGGGACAAGTGCTTCTATAGCCAGGGGCAGAGAGATGCCTTCCAGCCCTACTACGATGGTGTGTGCTGCCTGTCCTTGTTCCTCCTTCCCCTCTGGGAGGTGCGGGTTTTCTGTGGGCAGCCAGGCTGCTGGCAGGGAGCACCCTGCTGCCTGGAAGGGCTGGTAGCCCTGCCTGCCTCTCTGAACGTGCTGCTCTGCCTCTGCAGAGGACTACACAGAGACCCTGCTCCAGCTCCACGACGCTGAGGTGATGAAGGTGAAGCGCTACTACGAGACGCACAAGGATCTCTTTGAAGCTGTCCAAAAATGGGAGGAGAACTGGCGGCAGTTTCTGGAGCTGGAGGTATCRCCTAGGCAGGGGCACGTTCTGCCTTACCCTCACGCTTGGTGCTCCATGCACCTGCACGCTTCCCCGCGGAGCGTGGAGCACTAGCTGGGGGAGGCTCTGTGAAGCCACGGCGGGTTGTGAGGCCACGGGGCGCTGTACGTGGCACGACCTGCAGTGAGGTGCTTGCCATGCATGGGGCTAGCGCGGGGGCCACGACTGCCCCACATCTCGCACCCRAGGGGCACAAGGCTCTGCGCTTGGCGCTCTCCTGACCTCCCTTCTGTGCACAGAGGAAAACAACCGACCCCAGTCGCTTTGCCAACCGTGGTGGGGCACTGCTGAAAGAAGAGAAGCAGCGAGCGAAGCTGCAGAAGTCTCTTGCCAAGGTAGGCTCGGCTTTGGAGCAGGGAAGCTGTGGTTGCTGGGAGGACTCCCCAGTGCTGACGGAGGAGTGCAGCGCTTCAGGGCCTTTGGGCCATGGAGATGCTCCTGGTCAGTGGGCAGTGCTGTGTTTCAAGCTGCCTCTGTGTCCTGGTCCAGTTGCAGGAAGAGCTGGAGAGCAGGATTCAAGCCTGGGAGCAGGAGCGTGAGGAGGCCTTCCTGGTGAAGGGGCAACGGTTCATGGAGTATGTGACAGAGCAGTGGCAGCTGTATCACCTGGAGAAAGAGAAGGAGAAGCAGGAGAGGGTGAGTGCGAAGCTGACCGTGCTGCCTCCTGTGCCTTGGCCCTGTGACAGACGGTGGTCTAGGGCTGAGTCAGGGGGGAGAAGTGCCCCCTTACAGGTTCCCTATGAGCTGATGCCAGGAGCTCTGTACAGAGCTTGGCACCTTGTCGCTCCCTGCCCACAGMTAGATCTGTGCAGAGTGGTCTGGCKTAACCAACAAAATCRGCTTCTGTTGATGCTTGTGTTGAGCCCCTCGGCTCCAGCTGTGCCAGGACTGTGTTGAGGCTCTAAATACCTGCAAATCTKCAGGGCATGAGTGTACTTTGTACCTCGGAGGGCTGCTAGCAGAGCCCTCTTGGTGCGTGGGGCGAGCAGGCGCTCCCCAGCGTGCAGCTGCCTCTGGGTTTGTCACGTACCTTGGTTTGTTAGCACCCTTCTCTCGTGCAGCACCTGAAGAAGAGCCGCCAGACAGAGGCCGAGATGCTGTACGGGAGCACCCCACGGACGCCCATCAAGCGTCGGGTACTTGGCCCCCACCCACCTGGCAAAGTAAGGAAGGTAAATTGTCTATATGGAGCAGCACGGGGACAGGCTCAGCCCCTGGCGCTTGGCCYGGCCCCTGCTCGGAGCTGGGCAGGGCTGCTGCTGGGCAGCGCTAAGGAAAACGGCACTTAAAGCGTTTCCTTGTCTCGCTGTAACCTATCCCGCACGCAGACGTGCRCAGAGGGCTCAGGGCTGTTGTGGAGGCTGGGTGGGAGCTGGGCGGGGGGCACTTCTGGTCTCTGGGGACACCTGGTGTTTACTGGTGTTTACTGGTGTGCACAGCACTGGTGCTCTGGGGCCTGGCTGTGGGTCCTGGAGGACCCTGCACAGTGCACCCCTCACCTTGGTGTGCTTGGTGTGGCGGACCCGGGGCCTCSCCTCCCACCACGCTCTTGTTCTGCTGTCCCCTCAGCTCAATGGCACTTCCATCTCCAGCCCCGCACCCAACAGCACGGCCCGCTCGGCTCTGGGGGGGACGCTCTATCACTCACCTACGTCTTGGCTGCCGCCGTCTGCAGGGAAGGTGAGGAGCGGGCCGGGGGGAGGCGGCGAGCCGGGTGTGCCCACCTCCCCTGCAGCGCTSCCCAGGTGCCAAAGCGGCTCGGCCAACAGCCCGGGGCGCTTGGCCGCCCTGCGGAGTGTGGGGTGTTTTGGGGAGCAGCACCCCTGGGGAGGACGGGGGGAAAGCAGGATTCAGGGGCCCTCCCTCCTGCTCTGACTTGCACTCTTTGTCCCTCTCTGCTCAGTCACCTTGGGGGGACCTTCACCCCACAGCTGTGGTGCTGCACCTACTGTGGATTGGAACCGGGCCCCAACCCCGAGGGGTTTCTAGAGCTTGAAACTGAAGCAGAGGCTGGGGGAGAGCCCTRGCTTCGCCCTCCTGCTCAGCTCTTGTGTCCCCCTAACTGGTGTTCCTGCACTTTGGCCAGGCTGCTCGGACCCCCAGCCGCGTGACTACAAAACCTCCTCGGCCAGGGCACAAGGAGCAGAACAAGGAGAACGTGTTGCAGAGGAACGGGACCACCCTGAGCGGTGGGTGCACCCCCAGAGCCCCTGCCCAGAAAACCAACAGCATTAATTCTGTTGCCAGCACCTATTCYGAATTTGCGGTAATTCACCTCTTCTAACCCGTTCCCCCGCACCTGGGCAGCACAGAAAGGGCCTGTCCCCCCTTCCTGCCGAGCACCCTGGGGGTCACGGCTGTACCCCGGGCTCCTGGTGTCCCTGCACACCCTGCCCCGAGCAGCTGTTCCTGCCAGTGCCCGTGGCACCACGTCCATCAGCTCCTCAGCAAGGGTTTAGCAGTGAGGCCGAGCCRGCGCCGCTCGTGTTGGGTGAAGGGCCTGGCTCTGAGCAAAGGAACAGCCCCTCCTGYGCAGAGCCTCCCCCGGCCCTGCCTCGCAGGGCGCTGGCCGCAGCCATGCGGCCGCTCTGGAGCTGGCTCTGTTTCCAGGTGCTCAGGCAAATTCCCCATAAGCTCCAAGTCAGYGGGGGCTGTAGGGGCTGCCGGAGGGTGGCCTGGGCACCTGGCAGGAGCAGCTCCTGCTGCTGCCCCAAGGGGGTCGGGGGGCGAAGGGGGGCTGCTTTGGCTGGCCTGGGCGCTGCAGGCCCTGCCCTSCTGCACAAACCTGGCGGCCGGGGCAGGGGCCTCGCTCCGGGCCCCCTGTTCCCGTGCCCCTGCTGGGCCGGGCGAGGGGGGTGGCCAGATGCAACTCCTGCTCGTGCCAGGCTTTGGGTGCTGCTGGAAGGGCCCTGCTCCTGGCCTGCRCTCCTGCTGCCCCGTTAGAACGGAGCAGGGCCCCGCTTGGGCRCCTTTGTGGCGGCAGGAGAGGGGAGCAGCCCTTCCCCCTGCCTGTTAGGGCTCSTGCAGCCTTGCAGGGGCTGTGCAGGCAGCCCGGCCTCGGGGCYGCGCTCCGGGCCCCCTCGCAGTGGGGGAGCTGCTCTCACAGCCGGGAGCCCTGCAGGGCTGTCCTCGAGCCCMTGTCCCTGTGTCCTGCAGCTCCGGSCTCTGCCCCTTCCCTGCTGCTTTACTAGGCCCAGGCAGCCGCGGGAGGGAGGGACGTGGCCCTTGGCGGGGGCTGCTCTGAAGCCGGGAGGCCGGAGGGCTCTGCCCCGAGCCGGGGGTSCTCCCTGCCCTCCGCTGGGCGCAGAGCCGCTGGGAGCACCASCAAGGCAGCAGGAGCCCCCGCCGGCGCCCTCCTTGCAGCCCCTGCGCGGCCGCCCTCGCTCACCTCGTCCCCCTTGTCCCCTTCTTTCTGCAGCGCGAACTTTCAAAGGCTTCCAGGTGTGACACCAGCTCCCGCGTCCTCAACTCCACCACCACCAACACGTACTGCTGAGGCGGCGCCGCTGCAGCCGCCTCCAGGCGTCGTGAGTTGCTCCGCTGCCCCAGTGCAATAGCCCGAGTCCGCCCTGGCCCGCGAGCACAGTGCTGCAGCTTTAACTTTTAACTAGGTCCCAGGTGGAGCTGCCGCCCAGGAGGGGAAAGGAAGGGGATGCTCTTTTATAAATGATTTTATTTGGGGAAATTCTTGGAGGCATGTGAGATTAAAGTTTTGAGTACACGCTCTCAGGGGTGTAGCAGAGCAGTGGGCAGGGGCTTGTGCAGTGCCCTGCAGCTGCTGCTYGCTCGGAGGCTCTGCTCTTCCGCACGTGCTCTGGGACGGACGGCACCGAGGCAGAGGCGCCTGGGCCTCCTCCCTGCCGCCTTTGCTCCGTRTTTCTGTAGTTGTGTTCCTGCTCCTCCAGGGCCTGGGGGGCTGCTTTGTCGCAGGGACCAGGGCCTAGCTTGGGTTTTTAGCAGGTGTTACTGTCCCCAGGGTGTTACAGCTGCCAGAGGTGGGATTTGGGCCTCAGTGTCCTYTGGCTTCTCCTTGCCCTCCCCACCTCTGAGCCTGGACCCTTGGGGCCCAGCGGCGCCGTCCTGCAAAGCCACCCTGGGGTGCTGCGGGAGCAGGGTCCTGGATGTGGGGGGTGCCCCATGGCTCCCTGCCCCGAGCAGGGCTGGGGGTTCCAGGGGTGCTGCATCTTTCCCTGCCCTGGAGCAGAGCCCTGGGTGCCRTATGGAGCAGGGCTCCCGCTGCCTCTCTGGCTCTGCTCCTGTGAGAAGCAGCCCCGGGGCAGCGCCGGCCGCTCCTGCACCTTGGTTAATGAAGCTCTGTATATACATTTCTGTCCCTGGTCGTGACTAATTTGCACCATGTTATCACTACACTCCCCACTGCTGTTAGTCCAAGTTCTGTCCCCTTGCTCTGTACATGTAAATGTTGTTTATGGGAATAATGCCTATATGTGTATATAGCTGCAGCCCTGGGCAGGGAGGGTTAACCCTGGCTGCTGTCYGGCACTGTTGCTGCAGACGGGCCCAGCCCTCTGCCCCCAAGCATTGCCATAGCTGTGTTGTGAAAAGAGGACCTTGTAATTAATAAAGAGATTCAGTCCTTTCTTCTGTGTCTTCCAGCTGTGCATCCCCGCGGCTCCAGCGCCTGCTCCGTGCAGGGCCCTGTTGCTCCTGTCCCGTGGGGGGCAGGGGCCGGGGTGGCCTCAGGGCTCCCGCACGCACACGTAGGTGGTCCAGGGCCCGCACACCACGTCCTCCACACGCAGCCCCTGCGCTGCCAGCGCCTCCACGCGCCGCGGCTGGTCCCAGCTGCCCGTGTCCTCGTGGCCCAGCTGTCCGTATTTACCTGCAGCCAAAGCGCAGCCTGGGCCTGGCTCCCTGCCCCGCTGGGAGAGGGGGCCTGGGCTGGGCTGCGGAGCTGCAGCCAGGGGCAACACTCGAGCTTTTTCTTTTAACTTGATCATTCTCRGTTACATAAATCACTGTCCATGCAGAGTACCTAGTGACTAAAACCTCAGTCCCCACCGCGGCCAAGTCCAGGCCTCACTTACCCCAGCCCCAGGTGTAGAGTTCACCGTCTCCTGGAAAGACATTGGGGATGAGGCAGCGTCGGCACCGCGGCCCTGGGYGCCTGGGTCGGTGCCCGGCGGGGCCCCACGGACACTCACGGGTGACGGCGGCCGTGTGCCGGGAGCCACAGCCGACCTTGCTGACCTCCCGCTCCTGYGGGAAATCCAGCAGGGCCGGGAACGCCTGGATGGAGATGAACTGGGTGCCGTCGACGTCCGGCGGCTCCGGCGGCTCAGCGGCGCCTGCGCGGCAGCGGGGCCCGGTGCTCAGCGCGGCCGCCACCGGCTCTGCCCGCGCCCCGGCCCCGCGGCCCCACCTGCACCGTCGGCCTCATCCTGCGCCCGCTCCTCCGCCAGCGCCTTGCAGGGCARTGCCAGCTGCCCGCTCTCGTTCCAGCCCCACACGTAGAGGTCTCCGCTCTCTGCAGAGGCAGCGCGTGAGCGGCGGCCCCGCGCAGACCCGCTCGGTGCCGGCGCCGCTTGCCGCGGGCCCCTCACCGCTGACGCTGGCCGAATGCCATCCGCCCGCCGCCAGCTCCCGCATGGGCACCCCGGCCAGCGCCTCCACCAGCCGCGGCTCCCGCTCCGGCTCCAGCACCCCGTGGCCCAGCTGCCCGTGTCTGCAGGGAGCGCGCACATGGGGCTCCCGTGCGCCCAAGGTCCCAAAGGGAGCGTCCTGGGATGCAGGAGCCACCAGCCCSCCCGTGCAGAGCGTGTGTCTTGTGTGTCCCAGACAGGGACGTCGGGGATCGCCTAGTCCTGGCCTGCACGCTCAGGGCCACCCAGACCAGGGTTCCCAGGGTCACGGGCACCAGGTTTTCAGCATCTCCAGAGCAGGATGGAGCCACGTTACTTTTTTATCAGTAACCCTTCCGTTATTAACTGTAGCTCGAGAGTTGTGCTCATGTGAGGAATAACAGCACGAGAAGGCAGGAACAGCGGTGTGTTCACTGACYGGGCTACTGCCCTGTGCCTGTTTACTGCGATGAGTTGTCATTGCCTCACATGAGGCTCTCGGAGCAGCTCTGTCGCACCCTCGAGCAGCGGGATATGGGACGGGGGTCCCTGCTCCCCACTCCCCTGCCACCAGTGCCCATGCAGCTGAGCCCCACGTCCCTCCCCCCCAACAACCACTGTAGTCCCACCCGCAGTCTCCTATAGCCCCTGTACTCACCTCTATACCCTCCCTATGGGAGGATGAGGGGAGCTCCACAGCCCCCATCCCCCTATATCC